GGTTTTTGCCGCAACCGTAACCGTAACTTGCTGTGTGTCGTACGGTTCATTGGGATAGTTTCGCCTGCACCTCTAGTGCATATGTACAATTTTGTATTTTTATTGAACCTATTATTCCGAAATTACAAACTTAATCGAATCGGCTGGAGTACCATTCGGTCAATTTTTATCAGGTGTTTCAGAAATAGCAGTAATGCCACTTTGCTCCGGCCCATCCCTGACCCCAAATTCGGGCCTATTTGCTGAATTTTGGTGGACCCACTAATCTATTCGTGGCACATAGCATATAACCCTTAACCAGTTCCCTTTCTTCGATCCGTTGACCCTTGTCAACATGCATTATTTAAATCATATAGGTTTTATAGTGCAGGCATCCTTAAACCAACAACTTTTTTAAAAGTGGCCAAATTTGAGACAAACTACTAAATTCTGATTGGTTAATAGCTTAAAATTTTGTTTTTTAAAATTTTATTATGCCAACTTTTTATTTTATTAATAACTTCAAAAAGATATAACTCTATTAAATATTAATTAACTAAAAAAATAAACTTTATAATTTTGTTCTTTAGATTTTATTTTATTATTTCACAAGAGATTTAATTTATAACTATTTTAGTTTTTTATTTATAAATTTTTAAAAATTATGTATATGTCGATTTAAGGATGCCCGCACTGTAGTAAGCAGTAAAATTTCAAATTTAAATTTAAATTAGGAGACTTTAGGATTTACAGTAACACCAAATGTCATGGTTGTAAACTAGATTTTATATCAGAACTAATTAGCATTATTGCACAATAATATTTTATAATTACAAAAATTCTGGTTAATAATTTATAATAATATCCTAATCATATTTATTTTTTAAATAAATAATTTTTAAATAATTTAAAAGATAAAATATAGCATAGATGACACCTTAATAAATAATCAATTGATATAAAGTAGGTATCACCTATACTTTATAAATTTACATATAGTAGTACGTTAACTAATTTGATAAATAAATACAACACTAATGTGAGCGTGTTTACGTTGTCATTAAATAAATTTATTTCTTTTCTACAGTTTTGAAATAGTTCTTTGGCGGTAAGCTCGTACAAGCATCCTCGGAAGTCTTGGTAAGAGAACATGGAATTAATTTTAAAAATAAGAGAAAAACAATTAAAAAAAAAAAAAACAATGTACTAACCACATATGCAGCGGTGAGACCTCCATCAATCTTTATTTCAGTTCCTGTAATATATGATGATTCATCTGATGCCAAGAATACGGCTGCCTGGGCGGTTTCAATTGGTTCACCTATTTTATTTTTAATTTATAAGTAAAAGAAATGATCTAAAGAATAAAATATGGTAATAGGAATTACCGAATCGTCCAATTGGCACATGACAAAGACGTCTGTTCTTTTTATCATCAGTATTAAGTAAATTCATCAATTCTGGAGTACGTAATGGTCCAGGACATAATGTATTGACACGAATGTTTTCACGAGCATGAGTAACGGCTAATTCACGGCTTTAATTAAGTAATAATCATATAAAAAATTGTAAAAAAGTAAAATTGTGCTAAAGTAGAGCTGGGGCACGGGAAATTTTTAGGCATGACCACTTAGATATGATAATTGGCTAACGCTTAATGTACCGTACTGCGTGGACTAAAACCCCTCCCAAATTAGGAAAGCCTTTTAAACGTAATTTATATTATACAGTCTTCCTCCTCTATAATCACCTCCTATATAATCACAACTCCCATACAATCACATTAATTTTTGAGACAATTTATTAAAAAACTTATAAAAAAACTTCTATATAATCATACTCTTTTATAATCACCAATTTTCTTGATACAAACTGCGTGATTATAGAGGAGGAAGACTGTACCTCAAATGTGGTTATTGACCAATCAAAGAAATTTCATATGCAAAGCTTCATTATATCACAAATACGTAGACTTATGAACCCTTTTCAACAAGTATTCTTAAAAAATTTTGGTATGTTATGCAACTTTTTCAAATATTTCCCACGTTTACCGTATCGTCGCGAAATAACGCCCCAGGGCGTTATTTCGAGACAAAAAATTTTAAACGAATTAATAATTAATTTTGCCGAAGATTTTTTTTAAACTTTAATATTTATTTAATAGTAAAGTTTAAAAAAATCTTCGGAAAAATTAACTATTAACTCTTAAAATTTTTATCCCGAAATAACGCCTCGGGCGTTATTTCACGACGATACGGTATTTTACATGCAATTTAAAGATTAAAAAATTTTTATAAAATATTTAGAAAGTTGCATACCACACAAAGATTTTTGAAAGAATATTTACCAAAGAGAAGGAGGCATGCCTATGAACCCCGTACCCAACCCTACACTAGTAATATCAATTTAAGTGAAGACATACCTCAAAGCAATAACAGCACCCTTGGAAGCAGTATCTACAAAGAAATAAAGGATATCAAAATTTATTTGAAGCAAAACCTTATAATTTTATTAACACTTACAAGATATTTGAGGAGTTGCTGATCCCAAGAAACCGGTATAACTCGCCAAGTTAATAATACTTCCTTTACTACTAGGATTTCTTCGCATTGCTTCAATAGCATATTTACAACCGTACCAAACACCCTTGACGTTCGTATTCATAGTAACATCCCTTTAAAGTAGAATTATTTATAATACTGATTATCAAGAGATAACCAACAAGGAATTCATTATCATTATAAGAATGCTAACGACTCAACTCGACTGACTTTGACTAGTAAAAGTCGACTTTCAGCCAATCACATGAGCTTAACATTGTTCTTACCCAATTATGTACTTATTATCTCCTGAATTTTGGAAAAAGTAATTTACGTACTAATATACATTTATCCCGATTACCGATTTAACAATTAGATTCTTAATATTTACAATTAAAATAATTGTTGACTTAATTTAATACCCACTTGAATCGTTAGCGTTCTTAATTAATTAATAAAAAAATAAATATATATTACCAGACTTTCTCATCAGTGTTTAAACAGTTATCATCATGAGGATGAATTATATCAGCATTATTGAACATTATATCAAGTTTCCCTAAAAAGAGATATATATATATATGTACATAAAATTTTTTCCTTTTTTTATGATGTTAGATAATAAAAACATACCAAATTCTTTCAAAGTAGCTTCTATCAATTTCTTTACTTCCTCTTCTTTAGTAACATCCACTTTATAAGCAAGAGTATGTTTTCGGACATGAATTGGGAATTTTTCCTTTATTCTTTCCACACAAGCTTCAGCCGCCTTAAGATCACTATCAGCGACAACAACATTGGCACCTTCTCTTGCAAATAGAATAGCAGTTTCGTAACCGATTCCGCTGAATTTAAGTAATTAAAAAAACATTATTAATGAATATATATTAATTGAATATAATAAAATATATACTGTATACATATAACAAAAGTTTATTTATTGACCTCCCAGCACCAGTAATTATAGCAGTTTTTCCATCAAGACGTCCTTTAATATCTTTAATAACTGAACTAATTGACATTTTTCACTATCCCTATAGAATATCCTACAGAACTAATTCACGAAAATTTAAAAAATTATTGTTATCTTTATCGTTATCGTTATTGTCAGTTTGGATCAGTAATTGTTTTTTTGTTTTCAGATGTTTTACAAAGGCAAAAGGAGTGCATGCATATCGGTGTAATTTTCATTATAAGCATAAATGAGGCTAACCCAATTGAATTTTTTAAAAAGAGATCTTTTCGATAATGGGTAATTTTGAATCAGGTGGGATCATTTAAACTCCACATAACGAATAACTGACGTAAAAAATTAATAATGTTTATGAATTTATGAATGGGAAATGGTTTCAAAAAGACTAGGTCCTGAAACTGTTTAAGGACTTGATCGACAATCCGGTCTTAGTTTGAAAAATAAAGTTCTAAAAAAATCGTTCTATAGTCAAACAGTTCATTAAGGGTATATAGTAAAGTAGTACGGTACGAAAACGTAAACGTGTAGAAATCAAGATAGTACGTACGGTTTGTAAAAGAAAAACATCGTCAAGCCCATGTTACTTTTACTAATTACCCCAACATGAAAAAAGAACAATATTAAAAAATGGTTGCTTAAAAAAATTGAATTTTACAAGTCTATATTAGCGTACTATCAAAATTTAGTATAATCTTCGTATGTCCGTCCGAATTTGTATTAGCATACAGTACTACTTTACTGAATACCTGTTTATTAACTTGGGACTTCGGTTTATAATCGTACTATCACTATTGTATTACGTATATAACATGCGTGCGTAGTGCTCGCGTACGTACGTACGTACGTACGTGAATAACTAATGAAAAATAAATTCGAAACCTAAGTTTGGAAATATAATTCGAACTTCTTTTTTTTTTTTTTCTTTGAACAGTTCCAAACTCGAACTTTCGAACTTATATAGAACAGAACCGAACGAGATCGAACAGGACTTTTATCATTCCTAAATTTTCTAAATTTCTCTTTTTATTATTAAAATTTCATATGATATTAGTTCGAACATAGGTTTTAAATTTTCTCTGGGAATATTCTTTTTATTATTCGAACATAGCTTTTAAACTGTTCCAAACTTGGACTTCTATGGAATGATACGTATAGTTTTTGAACTGTTCCAAACTCGGACTTGTATGAAACAAGACCGGACAGGACTTGAATTTTTTTTGGGGATGATAATCTTAAAATTATCTTTATTAATAAAATTTCATAACTGTCGTTAATTTTTCTTTTTTTATTATTGAAGTTTCCCGATTCCATAAAAGTATAAATTTCTTCGATAGGGCTGGTGTTTGTATTTTTATCTCGCATAATTTATCTGCAGTGTGAACATCCGGAGTTCTCACGGATTAGATATAAAAGACATCTAAATTTCGATAACGGATATTTGGCTTTTTATTAGCCCACATACTTTGCAATTTTCGCAAGGTCCTTGCAGAAAACTTTGTTTAGGGCCGTAAACAAAAGGAAACCGTTTAGGGCCGTAATAAAGGAAAAAGCTAGGACCGTAAATAAAGGAAAAAGTTTAGGGCCGTAAATAAAAGGAAAAAAAAGTTTAGGGCCGTAAATAAAGGAAAAAAAATAAGAAATATTCAGTTCACTTATTGCTTTAGTTGTAAGTTAAAAGTACCATGTACGAACGTATGTATGTATACGTAAATCTTTAATTATAAAGAATTGATTGTTTTTAATGTTTGTAATGCAGTATTTTCAAGAAATTACTAAATACTTTTGTTCATATTATGACTCTCAGGTGGTAGATTCATCAACTTGCGCTAAGGGAAACCTAGATATATATATGTTGGGAAACCTGAATATATATGAGCAAGTGGGTACAAACAAAATCATCAAATAAAAGAGTGTCATAGGTTTGGCCCAAAGTATCATGTACAATTTTGAACGTATGTATGTATACCTAAATCTTTAATTATAAAAAATTAATTGCTCTTAATGTTTGTGGCGCAGTATTTTCAAGAATTTACTAAATACTTTTGTTCATATTATAACCCTCAGGTGGTAAAATGGTAGTTCATCTGCTTGCTATTAGCAAATCTATATATTATACAAGATATAAAAAGTGGGTACAAAAAAAAAACATCTAATAAAAGAGTCAGTAACTCACGCCAACATATGGCGTTCATGTCAACTAATGACATTGTCCGAGACATCCTCGGAATACTCTCCACCGTGAAACCTGTCGTTCTCAATAATAAAAATATTATTTCGAGATACGGACCCAAACTGTCACAAATAACTTATTCATCCGGTTAATGTGAACGGAGCCTCGCACGAGGCCGGCGGCGTGCCATTTTGCCACATTATTTAACTCGTGACTTACTTCAATCCGTATAGACTTTGGTTGGTGGAGATGACGTTTAATAGGTCTATAGCTGATAGACCACGTTTAACATAACTTGCAACAAGGAAAATAAGTGAGATAGAATATTTTATGTTATGAGAAAATTGTAATGTGATTTCATGTATATATATTTTTTATAGTCATTTATTATTATATAGCCACCTTTTATTATGCAAAACTTTATGTATTATTGTTAAATAAAATAAAATAATAATACAAATATGATTTCAAAATTATCTTTGACATTATTGATGACTGAAATTATGCTGTGATTGAGTCTTATATGTATTAAGCTAATTTCAGGCCGTAGAATTTACTTTTGCAGGATAATACTTTCAACTAGATATTTTCTTAATGTTAAAGCTTTCGAACAAAGTTTTTTTATTCTAATGAGGTTGTGATATTGACTAAATCGGCTAGAATTATGGGGCTAACTTTGTTGTGACGAGAACCTGTTATAATGAAGGTTAGGATTAGAAGGCTACATATAATTATAGCAAAAGTTCATTTCAACTATTCGTGAGTCATGTTTACGTAGTCTAATTTTCATTATATAGTTTTATATAGTTAACAAATAGGCCATATAACGGAATTTTGTTATATTATTTAATAGAAAATTTATTAGTTTACACGTAGTGTTTGTACACGGTATATCTTATTAAATTACATGCCAATCAAAACAATTTTTACAAACGAAAAATTAAACCTTGCTTATGGTTAGGGTAAGGGTGGATTTGGGATTGGGCGAGATATACCGTAAAACGCCGTATAAGGTACCCCCCTTGATTTGTACCCCCCTTGATTTGTACCCCCCTTGATTTGTACCCCCCTTGATTTGTACCCCCCTTGATTTG